CATCAAACATCTCATATTCTTCGAAATAATATGCAAATGGTGTCGAAATTCTAATATCATAGGAGTCAGTTATGCGCGATGAAAGCCCCAGTTAACAGCGTGTGAATTTTTAGAATGCCATTCCAATTGTGTAACCGTCCTCAACGCTGAGGGATCGCCATTTGGATCTTGTGCCTCTGATGCAAATGTTGGTTGCTCTTAGTATAGCGAATGAAATTCTACATCTCACCCAGCACATGACATGACTATATGGGCGGTCCTATTTTGATTCCAGGCCATCTGCTAGTCGTTTGACGAAAAACGTGAACTCCGGTGCCAAAACACCATCTATTGAAGTGACAAGTGGAGTGAAAGACATGTGCTTTTCTTCACAAGCTGGTCCGTACTCATTTTTCTTCTCAATCTCTGAAGTTTTCAGTACATTCATGGGATTGCGGTTTTGGTAAGACGGAGCGTCAGTGTCTGAAAGATCTGCTATTAGTGCCGGGGTTCCATTTTCTACATCTGGTTCTTTTACGACAGGTTCTCTTTTCACATCTTTCCACAAAATTGAAGCAAGATCGCCCACTGCGTCTCTTATTTCGTTGTGTCGTAGTGTTACCAGTCCGCCCTTCTTGCAAGAAGGTGCATGCTGTAAGTCAAAATCTTGTTGACATCCATCGCATCTCGAGAAAGAACGTTTGAGTGGTTTTCTGTACCTGACACATAGAGCGTCTCTGAACTCTGTGGCTGACAAATCAAAATTATCTTTCAACAAGGGCAGCGAAGTTAGCCACAAGGAACAGTTGTTGTCGATTATTCTCTGGATCGCTCGTTTTTGATCTGCTGGTAAAACTGCAAGCAATTCATCGAGTTTATCTTTGTCCACAGCATTTTGTTTCTCCTGGTGATTATTTCTTGCTTCTCTCATCTTTGTTTTTTGTAGAGTTTGGTCGAAATCATCTTGGAGAAGGATCGAACTCACGAGACAGTCGGTTGCTTCACGTGAAGTGGAAAATGCTAGTTCGGCACCTTCTATTGGATTTCGCACGCCTAGTCCCCCTCTTTTGACAGGAAGTGAATATAAAACACGATCTGAGTGTGTGACACTAGAAGTTCCTAGTAAGCTTGGCAAAAAGTTTTCCTCCAACATCTTCTCGAGAGGAGCAAACAACTGCGACGTATCTTTGACTACTCTCTGGACAAAATTCCATTCGCATTGCAGTGATCTTGTTAATCCGACTAAAGCAGCTTGAGGTTCTTTTTCTGCCACTTTGGACAACTCGCCAAGACAATCCCCAACCATTCTTGGACCTTTTTTAAAGTGAAACAAATTTTGCCTTCATCAAAGCCAATAAATCCGCCCAAATATCGTCTACCTTCAAATATTCTGATGCCGAACCTGTCAAACAATTGATGAGCTTTTTCAACAAAGTTCGGGTGAACAACCAAATAACTTTTGCTTGGCTCGGGGTAATAGCCATACTTCGGGCCGTTTTCAGTCAAAGATGACAACCGTTCAACCAGGTTTTCTAATGGGCCGAGAGCTCCCGAATCATCTGCATACCATGTTTGTAAATACTTATCTCGGTCTTTGAGTGATTCAATCAATGGCATCAATGAAACCCCATAGAATAACATCGCTAGTGGATCACCCTGTGTAGTGCCTTCGCTACTGAAAAGAAGTTCTGTCGTTCCTGCAACAATTAGCAGTGCATACCCTCTATATGTGTTGAAAAGAAATCGTAAGCACCTTGGCCAAAGTATTCTAGCATTCCATAGAGCCGTTTCCCTGTTCAATGCATTGAATGCATTTGAGGCATTCATCAATAGAAGACCATGTCCGTCCTCTTTGGTGCTATTAAACAACTCCTTCACTGCGTGTACAGCTCCTTCTATTCCTGCTTTCACACCACAAGCTAGTTGTTGAGATCCACAAGTTTCTTCGAGATCTTTTTTTGGTCGCTTCGGCCATACATTTACACATTACTCTTCGCAAACACTCACCTATGCCAATGGGTCTAACTCCGGGGCAATTGTCCAAAGCGATCAGACGACCTGACATCAATGCTCGTATTTGGTTCCATGGAATAATTTCGTTAGCTATCTTTGTGATCAGCGCTGCCACTTCGTCTTTCAAAGCCGAACTGTGTCCTTCAAATCGAAGAAATGCGTCTTTCCAGTGTTCCGAATCTGTTCCTGAAGGTCCGGCTCCACCGTGCATTGACCTCGCAATTTTTTCTATATAAGAAGAAGTGATGGTTACTGTTTCTAACTCAGGCAAGCTGTCTACTTGTATTCTTGCTTCTTCTTTTGACTGTTTTGCTACGGGATGCTTTTCTTTCAGAATGTCAATGACTAATTTTCTTGTTTTTGTTGTCGAATCAATAACTTCGTCATTTGGATGGAGCAAACCTCCGCCAGATCTGCTTGTCAGCCAACGCATGGCAGACCGAACTTTCCCTTCCATCATCATTCGTGCAAAAACCACTGCGGTGTGCTCGTCTTCAGATCTGTTTTTTTCATAGGTTTCCTCGGTTGTTTTTGTGAACATCGTTTGGCTTCTCGTAGTAGAATATTGAACTTACTATATTCTCAGTCTTCAAGTCGTCTTCCTATCAAAGCTCTCAAATCACGTGTGGTTTTTATCATTGGGTCCCGCTGTAAGATTAATCGGCTGAATACAAGATGTCGTTCTGAACATTCGTTTTGGTTCAATCGGCAGACTTCTTTCGTTAAAAGATCAACGTATTTACGGCCAAGGTTTCCCCCCGGGATTAAATACAGTTTGCCTTGGAGGTTCACACTCACAGTCCATCTGTTCCCCCATTCAGTTTCTTGAACTTCCTTAGATCTGTCGAGAGACCCTCCAAAGGCGTCAAACAAACAGTTTGTGACGTTTTTTGTAATAGGTACGACAGGATAATGGTCTTGCTCAACGAGGGTCATAACACGAAGCTGTTGAGTCGCCCCAATATGTTGTTCTTCATTTTCTATTTTGTCTTCAGTTTCGTTGTATGAATCCTCTTGTTCATCGTCACTAACTCTCTGCGACGCAAAAACGGTGTCCTCTTTTGGATTTTCTTCCGAGTGATCACGAAAACCAAAATAAGATGGCGGTCTTATCGCTCTGTCGCTTCTCCTCATCATTTCGTGTCAGGGTTGACAAACTCCTCAATAGTTGCAATAGTTCCGATAGTTGCTATTGTTGCAATAGTTGCGATTGTTGCAATAGTTGCAATATTTGCAATAGTTGCAATAGTTGTCAATGTTGTTGTGGTTGTTGTTGTTTTTTTTTCTTTTTCTTTTCTTGTTTAACAAGACACGTGCTAAATTTGGCGTAATTTTTGCTAAAGGCCAAATTATCTTTTTATAGTTATCTTTTTTGTCTCAATTTTTCTCCAATTTGATTGCTCAACAAAAACGAAAAGTTGAGCATTTGCGATCTGTTTTTAGCCAGCATCTTATTGCAAGTTTCTGATATCTATTTTTAATGAGATTTTTCAAAAATACTACAGGCAAATATTGAAGGGATCATCGCTTTGTTTCCTAAATGTTTCGCAGTTTCCAGGAAACTGACTTGGTCCAGAGAAAACAAAAATCAACCTTTTTAATCAAAATTTAGTTAAAGTCAAGGTCAGCTAACTTTGTATCTTTTTATTTTCCTGAAATTAATGAAAAAATGTCAAAAAAAGTTGGCTGTTTTGCAAACAAATTAAAACAGTACACAAACGAGAGTTCAGAATTTTTTGACCTGATCGTTATCAACTGATTGTAAATCAGCATAATTTTTCTCTTTAATTTAAAATTATGTAATGTTATCCAAGCCAACTCGCAGAAGAGCTTACGACTTGTGATTTTTCCCTGCGAGGCACTATCTTAACCTCTTTTGTTGTTTTGTAACAGAAAATGAAGTTCATCGTTTTTTGTTATTGGTGAGATGATAGAACTAATGAAAGCCTGAAACTTTATGTTTAAAAAATGTTAGGTACATTTGTCAACAACTTTCCACATCCAACAACTATTCAAAAAATTTAAAAAAATTTCTCGAGTTTTTTTCGTTCTTGAAATTTTATGACCAGGAAAGCGCAAAAAAGCAATGAATAATACCAATTGAATACAAAAAAAACAATTATTGATTTTAGTTAGGTTTAAAACTAACAATTATAAGCCTAATAAAAATAAGACGAAAAATTTTTTTTCGCTCGAAATTAGACTGAAATATAAAAATTTTCAACCGGTTTTTCTCGACACTGGAAAAATTTAATGTCGTTCAAATCACAACTAAAATGGCTTTAATATGATATATCACTCGACCCATTCCGATGATTAATTGATACCTGATTTTTTTGAGTGGAACAGAAAAAGAAAGGAAAACAAGGACAGCCGGTTATTGTGCAAGTAGCACAAAATGTTCTGACGGCGGCTTTTAAAAACCAAAATGAACAAAAAACGTGAACAAGAGCGTAGGCATATTCGAAAATCATAGTAAAAAAAGCAAAGTGAGCAACAATTTTTGTACAAAAAGACAAGAAAAACAAAAAAATTCTGATAAAATTTTCATTGTTTTTTACTGAAATTTATTATTCCCAAAGTAATTCCCAAAAATTTCAAAAACTAATTCCAGTTTGATTCCCAAAAACTAATTTAGTTGATTAATTTTGAAACTAAGCACAAGTAAACTATTGTAAATGACCTAAATTAAGCATAAATAAGCCTGCTCGTTCCCTTTATTTGCTCAAAATTAGACTAAAATCACTCGACGCATTCCGATAATAATTTGTTGTATCTCATTTTGCGTGAGGAAAAAACCAAATCACAACCAAAGTTCCGAATTCAAAGTTCCCCCACATTTTTCAAATGGTCGGAACAAAAAACTAAAACACCCAAATACAAAGCTCCTCCTCATTTTCAATGGTCGGAAAAACAACTTTGGGTGTTGTTTCTTTTTGCATTGACATAAAACACCATTGGCGATCGTTCCTTCCCACTCCCAGACGGTGCAAAGGATTAAAAGCAACTCAAAAACAAATATTTGAATCTAATCTTATCTATCTGGCAATTACATCTACATTTAAGAAAAGGAAGTTAAAAGAGATATTCGCAATTTCAGTTTGAACACAGACTAGATGCATCTACAAAATAAAGATGTTTGACAATTCCTGAGGCGTTTACTCTGGAAGAGGGCTCCAGTTGGAGACACTGTTTAGTGAGAAGAAGAAGCTGTCTATGTTCTGGTTGTTGAAGTACTTCTATCGTCTCTACTTCAGGTGGTGGTTGGTCACACATCGCAATCTGTTCAAGCAACACAAAACAAACAAATAGACTTTTGGATAACATAGTCAAACTAAAAGGAAACTGATGCAGCATTTGCAATGAACAATTTGAAATTAAATTTTAATATAAACAGGGAAAATACTACTTTAGCCCAAAAATTTCATCTAAAATCGGGATTTGATTTTCTTCTCAATTAGTTTTTGCAAAAAAAACAAATACTTACCGCAAATACTTTCCGCTTTTTTGTAACAAATACATGTCGGTTCTTGATAATAGAAAACGCATTTTAATATTCTATCCTGACCTGGTACATAAGGGCTGCTTTGTTCGAGTGCTGACTGGCTCTCCATGGTAACATTCCTCCTGCCATCTGGATGATGACACAGCCAAAAGACCAAATGTCACATGACCTGCCATACCCACGGCCTCTGATGACCTTAAACAAGAAATAAAGGTCAAGGTTAAACACAAGCTGATTTAGTGCAGTGGGGAAAACCAGGACGTGAAATCAATATGGTCGACCAAAAAATGCTGATCTTAAACGCGCCCCGCTTGCTCAAGAAAATCTTAGTTTCTCCAATGATTTAACAGACATTAACCCCACATTTTTTGTACCCTCGAGCATTAAAAGTATTGTACCAATGCAAAAAATAGGGAAAAAAACAATTTGATTGAGGTTCGGTGCGATCTCCTTCTCCTTAAAACATGATCCTGAAAATTTCCAAACTAATCAATTTACAAAAAATCAAGATTGTACAAAATTAATGCGCAAAATTAAAATTTTAATCACGCGAAACTATCTGAAGCCTAAAAAACCTTGAAGCAATTTAAATTTCAATTATTAAAGATTTTGATACAAAAACGGGGCGTCAGAATTTAACAAATCGAAGCTACCAGAAGACACCATCATTCGAAAGCTTAAAAATACAGTGTTATGGGCTGAAATGCTCTAGAAAAAGAAATCAAGAACTGAATTAAGAAAATTGAAATCTACTTCGGGCGCCATGAAACAGACAGTTCCGACAAGTTCGTTAGCAAACTGCATAGGTCCAGTGCCGTCTTTGGACACTAGTGATGCAGTGCCGAAGTCGCACAACTTCAAAGTAGTCCCAGTCAAGTCCAGAAGCAGGTTGTCACCCTGGATCAAAACGAAATCCTGTGAACACTCATACAAAACTGAGCATTTTTAAATTTTCTGGTAATTGTTTTAACTTTATTTATATTATACCGAAATGTTCAACTTGTTCATATTTGGAGAAAACAATTTAATTCTGCTAGTTACTACTAATTTATCGTACCTTTATGTCTCTGTGTGCCACTTGGCAGTCGTGGAGATACTGGATTGCCAGTGCTAATTGACGGAGCAGAAGACGGAGGGAGGACTGGTTGAATGGGCCAAAGTGACGCACATGGTTAGACACAGTGCCACCTGTAGCAAACATGAAAGAAAAATTAAATTTTTCAACTTATTTATAAAAAATACAAGAAACATTTCATCAATTACAGTAATGAACAGGCAACGAGTCCTACTGGCACACAACAGTTAACAACTGTTTCTATTGTAATTTATTGTAAATGTTTTTATCGCCATAAACTAGTTTTAGGGATCTAAAAACTGTCAAAACATCAAGTTAAAAAGAGCGAAATATTTTGATGTGAGTAGTGACCTGGCATCCACTCCTGGTATATATTGAATGTGTAATTGTCGACAGAACAGTTGCTTCCGAACACCTCCACAATGTGTGCATGTCTCAACTGTCTCGCCATCTCAAACTCTTTCCTTTCTTCTTCAACAGCTGAAGATGATTTGAAGTCAGCCACACCAGTCCCCCCTAACACGCTGGACTGAAAACAAATACCCTATCTTTTCATTTCCCCTGATTTCAAATTGTAGCTGCATCTAGATTCAAATAATTTGCAGCCAGATCGAGGTCAAATTAGGATAGCGACCGCTGCTTTCCCAAGTAAATGTGACCCTCTCTCATATCCAAGGGTCGCCAACTTGGTACTAACTTGAAACTCCTGTTTGTCAAAACAGTTCCTGATTTTTTTCTAGAATTCCATTCGAAGCTGATACGTACTTATTTCGAGCAGATGGCGCGCATCAAAAGAATGCGATATTTTAGTCAGCGGCTTTTTGTGCACGTTTTTTTTGTGTGTGCAGAAAACATGCTGAAATTGCCGTTTTGACCAAAAATAGCTATTTTTCGTGCGCGCTGTTTCAAAAGATGTTTTTGTTTTGCTTTTTCTATTTTATAGCTCGGTAAAAATTAAGATGCACATAAAGAAAATCACTGCAAGTTTTTCAAAGCAGCCTGTATTTAGATTGGTCGTTACAAATAGGGAAAGTTTCATCCGAGAAAACAGTAAGTAGTAGGATGCAAAATTTGACCCACCCTAGAGGTTGTGCCCATGCCCAGTTTTATCTGCTTGACAACCATCATGTGTCCATAGTGTATGGCCTTGATGACGTAACAGAGACTATGGCCCCCTCTGCCAATGCATTCTCCCTTCATCCAATCTTTGCCCTCTTCAAAGTGAGCGAAGTCAATTTCACGCAAGATCTAGACAACAAAACTCAGAATTTGTTCTCACTCTTGTTTTGAATCCTCTCACATTTAAAACTAGTTCAATTTAAAAACGACCACATACATTCCACTGAATTATCAAACTGAATCGCAAAGCCATTTCTATAAGTTTGAACTAGTTTATCTAAACCAAAAAAATTCAACCAAGTTTTCTTTAACGTTGTCTCTTTCAAGAAAAATTCAGAACCAACTTTGTATAGAGTACTTCAGCGGTATGCTTTACACTGTTTTTCCAAATTATTACTCAAAAATACCTTATCGTTTGACTTTGACAATGGTCGGATTTCGTTGCTTTCTCGAAGAGATGAGCTTTCACTGGAAGGATTCCTGCTAATCTGACAACCAGGACCACCAGAAACTTTCAAAATTTCATCTAATAATCCAACATTTGAGTTTTGTCGCGTCAATCGAACTTTCAAACTTTGCTCTTTCATTTTCTTATCGATGTAATTGCACACTTTACTGCACTCTGGGTTAAGTTTATTTAACTCACCCCGAAAATATTCGCCTCTTTTTTGTTCTTTGGCACAATACTGAGCAGTCGTTGATATGATTTCTTTGGCAAGATTTCTCGTCTCTTTTTCGAAATGACCGAAACAAGATATTATCGGAATGAGAAGAAATTCAACAAAATTTGGCCAATAATGATCTTGGATTTTGTCCCAAGTATGCATTTTCAAAAGATGGACAAGTTCTTGCATATCTTGGCAAATAAACGTAGATGTTCCATTGTCTTGCGAAGATTTGATATGTTTAGAGATATGAGAGGCTTGTAGGATCATGTAATGAAACCATATAAAGGGGTTCAAGTTCTTTTCTGAAAAAAAGGTACAATATAGATTTTAGTTATAAAGGTTTCAGCTTAATGGTCGAACGGAAGCCATACATACCCAACGCTTTGGTGAAGGCTGTTTTGATCGGAAGCTCTTTTGAACTGTCACTAAAAACCATAGAAATGTGAGTACGATAGAGTGGTAAATTTTGTCGACCATTTGCACATTTTGAATAAATTTTCTGTGGTGTAGACAATGGTGAATGACAAGGAGACGAGTCTGATCTAGACAGTGAAGATAATTTAAGCAAACAATGCAAAAACAAAGGCACCCTCTTGCGAGAAAACTATTTGCCATATTTATAACAGCTTTATAACATATTTTTAACCTCTTGGAAGAAAATTATTAGCCATATTTATCTGTTGTACATTCGATTTGAAGTCAAGCAAATTGTGAAACATTTATTCGTTTACCTCTTCATTCGCTCAATTACCTGCCAAAATGCCTTCAGTGTGTTTTGTTTTGCTTGTTATTAAAATCTCTGTCTAGATCAGACCCCTCTGCTTGCCATTTACTTAGACAACTTGTGAAAAAAAAATAAGTTTTTTGAGCACTTGCCGGAGTGTTGAGACAAAAATAACGTTTTGAGGCGTTGCCCTATTGGAGGTCGTAAGAAAAACAGGATTTTAACACACATGTACATGATTTTGAAAAAAATCTTTTACGAAAGCGACTTGAGAGGCTACCAAGTATGCAATTTACCATTCAGGTGGTACCTCCTGAGCAAAAAAATTCAGCTAAATGAAACTTTAAATATAAAAATTGACCTTTTTTATTTGAAAATTCATCTTCCTTCAAGCCCCAAAACATACCATGTTACAAAAAACACTAATTAGTTCTTCATTAAGGCATAGATAAAGATCCTTCCGTAAATGTGAACGATTCGCTTATTTCAACTCATCAACTTCGAAAAATTTTTGAAGTATATTTTTGTCCAATTGCCCAATTCGTGAAAAATTAGTCTAACTTTGGTTCTATTACTATTTGACAACTCTATTTGCTTTGCGCTTAGTGAGAGTTCTTTTTTCATTGCACGTGAAGGAAGCTCTTGATTTTCACGAATCTTCAAAAGTTGACGCTTCTTTGATAGAACAAACCTAGGCTGCATCAATGTTTTCCAAACTCCGCTGGTAAACCTTAAAATTAAAATTCACTTTCGATACTAGAAATTATTTACGTTGTTTTGCAACATTTCTACATTTATAAAACATAGCCAACTAATAGTTGGAAAAAAGTAATGAACGCAAGAAAACTGAAAAAAAAACGGACCTGTTTTTTCAAGAGCCTTCAATTTTTGAATTTTGAAAAAAAATGGCCTTAAAGCTCTTTGAATTTGAAGAACAATTTATGATGGACACTTTTCTATTAAAATTAACGCAATTGGAGAAAACTGAATCATTACGTATAACTTTTATTTCGCTGGGAAATCTGATCATTAATTTCCATTTTCGAAATAAGAAGTCGATCACTTTTTGGTGACTTTTACACTTTCGCTGTTCGATAGTGGAGTTTGCTTTAAAATCTGTGGTTTCTGCGATTCGCAGAGGATCTTTGAAAAACTATCCAGCCTGTCTAAGCATAGTCCGTTTCTCTTATTTCCCCACAACCCAGACTGAGTTTTTGTGCTGAGCGAAGCTCTTTTTTGCAACTCAAGGCCGTTTCTTTTTGCGTCTAGAACTTTAGAACTTTCACGTGGTACCACTATTGCAGCCGTAATCGGTCAGGCTGTGGTGGACCTGCAGCTAGAGGTCAAGTAAGAGCTCGTCCTCGCGTTTTATCACTACCATGGCAGGGGATCGATTACACGATCTGACGATCTCGAAGTGAACACCTTACCACTATGCTAAGTGCCTCCTTGCCGCTTTTAACAATGGAAATGCACTGAACTTAATAAAAATCACAATTTAAACCGCAAAAAAATCAAAATTGAGCGTGAACAAATTTTAAGACTTTTTCCTGAAAAAAAAAACAAAAAAAAATCAGCAAGACCTATATAAGAGTACTCACTATGTTCATTACTCTAAATTGAGAACGTAATTTGCCTTCCTTCAGCAGATCAATTTGGGGTCAGCTTTAAAAAAATCGAAAATCAAACAGGGAAAAATCAAACTTGCGCGTGAGTAAATTTTCTGAAAAAACATGATTAAATGACCCTAATAAGACTGCACTTCACTCATTGACACTAAAAAACTTAAAATGGAAAAACATTGTATTCAACGTGAATTAACTAACTCACTTGTTTTTCAGCATCAAAAACAGCTGTTCAATTATGGACTTCAAGTGTAGGCTGCAGGACGAATCCAAAAAGCAGAATAAATTCTAAAATATATAGAAGCTCATACCAACCAAAACATCGAAATATAACCTAGAAGCTCATTATTTACTACATAAACCGCTTATTTTTTTTGGATATATGCACAATTGTTTTCATTCAAGATCAATTGATTCTAGACTATTATTCTCAAGATTTATATGAGCTGGGACATCGAAGAGCATTCTTTTAAGCCATCAGAAACAAAATTTATATGAAATGATGAAACTCACTATAATTTGATTGCAGCAGAAATCGCACACACTGAAAGGCAGCTTCAGTACACCACTAAGCACCCTTAAGACCGCTCCCTCTCTTCTGGTGTGATCATTTTCTGAACAGCTAAACTTGTTCACAGATGCAAGGAGGGCTAACTTGACTATTTCTTGGTCACTGGAAGCAAGCCCATCCACTATATCTTCACTCAAATCCTGAAAAAAATGAGAACACTGAAGTCAATTCTTCTGTTATATTATAATCAAAGACAAGATATGAAAACTAACGGTTAATCAGCTAACTTCAGTACACTTTTACCCATATTTCCTTGATAGTAACAGCTGGAACTCAATTGAATTTCAAATATAAAAATTGATTTCTTTGTCAAGCTGGAGACCCTTAAAGTTCCTTAAAAAGTTGATCTTTTGTGCAATGTGATTGTTAAATAGATCTTGAAGAAATCAAGGATTCTGGTCTCTTGGACTTTAGCAGCAAATTCACCGGATGTTCCGAGATTCAATAAGTAACCTTCATTTTTTGTGAGCATGAAACTTGTTAACATACTCGATTGAAAACAGAACATGGAAAAGATAAAGTTCAAAATAGATTGACGATTTTAAAGCATTTTTTATTATTTCTGACTGAAAGAAAATATATAATCATTCAAAGGAAATGGATCAATATTAACGACTGAAGGCAGATGTTTTATCCCAGAACTAAAGTTCACAAAAAGTCTATTAAAATAGGCATGAAAACTGCATTGAGAAATAAAAACTTAAAGTAGATATAATTTGTATCAAAGTTATAGATTCGAATTGGAGATTGTTTTAAATTGATGATATACGAACTGAGGCTAGAAAAAAAGTCGGCTCATAGAAATGAGGATACTTGGCAGTACTGAACTCGCAATCTGCACTATTAACCGTGTGTGTCTGTGCATAGATTCAGTTGTTACTCTTTTTTTCTTGAACTTTAGAACCAAATTGATTGATTTTTAATGCCTAATGATAGAATGCCGATCGAATGCAGAACATGATCTATAAATATTTTAATTTGGACCAGTGGTTTGGGGAAAAAAGGGGGCAAAGCAGCGGAAAATGAAAATCAGTGACATCAAAGTTTCCTCTGCAGTTCATTTCCATCGCATGATAGAATTAAACTCTCGCATTTGCATTGGATTCAATTCAGTTGAAAATGTTATTTTAATTTTCTGAGGAAAATTGAGATATATGATACACTTCAAAACAGGAAGCACTTTTTGGCAGCGCTTAACTTTTGGGCTTTCAAAATAAGGGTTTTAAAAATATCAAGTATCAACTGACGTAAAATAATCGGATCGCTAAAATACAACTCTTTGATACGAACAAAACTATAGCTACACCTCAGGTTCCTCCCATCCCGCACAAACAACTAGCTTATAGATGGCTATTAAGGAAAAAACCCAAAATTTATAATAACGTGCTCTAAACACAGCGGTAGGTGTATTAAAAAAACCTGTAAGAAAAACACAGCACAAGTAAGAGAAAATCATTTTATACATTTTTGAGATAAAGATCCACCGGACAAAAATAAAACACATAGCCAAATGACAGTTGGAAAAGACTAATGAACGCAAGTAAGCACAAAAAAACACTAACTTTCTTTATAAAAACTCAACTTTCGAATTTCAAAGAAAAACAAGACTGCTCGTATATCAGGGCAAAGCTTCATATCCTTAATTCATATCGAATAGTTTTTGAGAAAAGAAAATATTGAAAACCTACACATTTAGGGCAATATCAAAAGGTAAAATTTTGAGTCGTACGAAATTAATACGACCAATTAGCTAGCCTCAATTCAATTTGGAACGATTTTGTTGAGTGGGTTAATTCGCCACGCCACGCATGAATAATTCGCGTTACGGTCTCAGCAATATGAATAAACTCTTCAAAGCGCGCATAATTTAGTCCGGAACATGGCAAATTTGGCAATGTTCAAACCCGAGAACTAAAAATAATCGGAGGTAAAATATCTTTTTAAAATTGAACTCAAGAAGTCGATATCTTCAATGGGCTATAAAAAATTTTGTCGAAAACTATTATTTCGATCGGCGAAAATTAACTGAATAACAAAACCACACCGAGCATAAATAATCCGTTTTCTTCGAAAGTCGGAACAAAAATAGATGCACTTCAAGCTATTTGAGTTTCTGAAACAACTCTTAATTGGCGCTTTTTTGATAACACATACCCAACTTGAGAAAACTGGATCAATAGGTAAAGTTTTTATTCCGTCGGAAATCTAAAAATTAAATTCCACATTCGAAACTAGAAGTTGTTCACGTTTTGTCGGGACATTTCCACGTTGGTATTTGGAGAGTGCTTTTTACGTCACTTTCAGCAGATGAACTTCAATTAAACTGAAAAATTGCATATATACGTAAGTGCATTCATAAATGCATCAATATGTATGAGTGCACATCTGTAGTTATTAGAGCATTTTAAGACTCTTTACTAAAAAATTACCAAGACCTATATAAAACCTGCTACATTCATTAATCTTAATAGACCTTAAAAAAATCTTGCGAACATGCAAATTCTCCTCGCTGTCAGTATCAAAATGATAAATTGTTTTCAGATTGCTTAAAAAGCTGAAAATGGTTTGAATACTAATATTTTTAATATTTTGAGCTCAGTAGATTGAAAAATTTTTAAATGATAAAATTCCGTCAAAAACATTTACTTAAGAAGACTCTGTCCGAAAAAATAAAAACTAGACTGAATACTAGAAACTTTTTTCTATTTTTAAGCTGAAGGCATTGATATTTTTCAGATTGTATAAAAACTAGTCAGAAAAAAATATTTAAAACTTAGCCAACAGATGGTTAATAAAAGACAGGAGAGCGAAGAAAGATTGATTGGAAATCATGTTCAAATTCATTAATTTTTAAGACATGTTTATGATTGGCACTGTTTTGTTTAACGTTTTATCATTTAGAGAAAACTGAATCAACTGACATTTTTTTTGTTCCGCTAGAAATTCAGAAAAATAAAGTCAACATTTTTCAACAGCAAGTCATTCACGTTTTTCGTGAAATTTGCAGGTCGATAACAGAGTTTGCTTTCCTTTTAAAACAAGAAAGAAATGAAATTTCAAACCGCAAAAACATCAAAATTGAGCTTGCACAATTTGTTTTCGTGTAGTTTATTTTAAAAACATCAAGAATGTATCAATGAAAATCACTTCGTTCTTTTACACGAAAATCTAAAATCTGTTTGAACAGTAGTAATCCTTTTTATCTTTTCGGCTCAGGCAAAGATATATATTTCAGATGGTAAAAAAAGTTCGTCAAACACAATTACCTAAAAAGTCGAAACTGGACAGAATATTATACATTGGTTTGAACAGTACAATCTTTTTAACAATTCAGCTCAAGGCATTGATATTGCTCAGATGGCATAAGAAGTCTACTAAAAACGATTATTGACCGAAAAAACTGAAAATGATACCAAGAGTAGAAAAAAGCCACCCGCTGCATAAACTTCTCGTCCATTTCGTCATAAGTCGGAACAAAAAATGACATTAGATTTCTGAAAAAAAAGATTATTGAGAAAAAAAAGTAGTCCAAACAGCAAAAAAATTCACCCACTGCATTAAATTGTCGTCCGATTCTTCAAAAGTCGGAACAAAACATCACATAAAATTGGACATGTTTCGCATTCAGTGCCATGAAGTGTAAAGAGGTGTACATTAATCATCAATACAGGCGGAAACGGAACGCACTGATGAAAATGCATAAGAAATAAAGATAGCCGGTTGCTGTGCAAGTAGCACAGAATGTTCCGACCACATTCATGAAAACGTACAAAAGATTTTTTTCAAATTAGTGTCGTTTTTAGTGAGTGGTAAGACAAACGACTATATAAACGCGTAGAAAAGTAGTGAATTAGACATATCTGACATTTGTTATCAAAAAATGAAGACAAACAAAATGAAAAAAAATAAAAGATTTTTTTTTTAAATTCTATTGCCAAAAAAGAGCTAAATGAAGCTTCCAAAACCAGTTTTCCTTTGGTAAGACAAATTTTTTCGGCCTAATTTTTATAGAACGAACGTTCTACTCAACTCGCTCGAAACTAACGCTTGAACTTCTCGAAACAAGATTAAACCGGAAAAAAACCCTTTTCATTTTGTTTTTAACCGTTTTTTCTCGAGACTGGGACTTTTATTGGAAAAATTTTGATGCCGTCATATCACTGCTGAAAGGGCTTTGATATGTATAAAAAAACGGCCAATTCTGCTGATTATTTGTGGTCCTGAATTCACGTGGAAAAAAAATAAAATTCCTCAACATATTCAATGGTCGAAACAACTAGCAAAGAAGCTCCGCCATCTTTGTTTAAAAATCAGACTTTTGTGGCAATTAAACACCCCCTCTGATTTTACCTGAACGATTCCTTGCAGCTCTTCCCTTACAGACTGTCTGATGAAGTCATCTTCATCAGGAGAGGAAATGTCGGAGAAGGAGGGCACATGAAAGGCAGACTGCGCTCGCCTCAATCTGAAAATGCATGCATTATCCTTGAAATAAAAATAGTTGGAGATTACAAAAAATATGTTTGTTCAGGTGTTATTGCTATGTTTCGATCCGCTTAAGACGTTCTGCGATTGTTAATTTAAAAAATGACCTAAAGCTGGAAGATATACACTTGGCAAAACGGTGTACTTAATATATCTATATTTTTTCCGACCATTTGAAAAATGGGGAGAAATTTTGTAATCGGGTGTGTTTTAGTTTTTTGTTCCGACCATTAAAAATGGGGAGTAGCTATGTATTTGGTTGTGTTTGAGTTGTTTTTTTTCTTTCTGTTTTCCACGCAAAATCATGTACCACAAAAAATCATCGGACTGGGTTGAGCTATATATCATATTAAAGCCCTTTCAGTCGTGATTCGAACCAAATTTGAACATTTCCAAAAAATCTTTCCAGTGTCGAGAAAAACCGGTTTGAAATTTTTGATTTTTCGTCTTAGTTCCAGCGAATAAAGGAAGCGAGCAGGCTAACAACAGCTGAAATATGCCTAATTTAAGACCTTAAAGTTTAATTTTAAGCAAGTAAATTAGTTTTTGGAGTTTTTCAGCTTCATTTTGAGAACCCTTCAAAAAATCGAGTTTTTAAGTTTTTCTAGGCGTTTTTCTACAAAAATTTTTGTCCAGTTTGCCTTTAATGCTATGACTGTCTTATATGCCTAAATTATAGTTTTACGTCAGATCATTTTATAACACCAAGCAGAAAAAAAACTACACTAATTTGGAAAAAAAACTTTCAACCTTGTTTTCTAAAGACGATGATGGGAACATTCTCTGCTACTCGCACAGTAACCGGCTATCCTTGTTGTAATTTAAAAATAGTTAATACGAAATGCCCTGCCTTTTTCAGTCAAAAAACTATTCCAGCAAGGTCACGAAAGACTCTTCAAACGCAGATGGGTATATCACGGAAAACTTTGCGCCTAAAAATCTTTGGAAACTGCTCATGCATGTTTACTTGTATTTGTAAAGTAGTTTACTTAGTTTTTCGAGGGACGCAACTATCAAACTTGTACCAGAACCTTAAAAATTTGGGAAAAAACTCGCCTGACACAAGTTCGAAAGACAGCTATTTTCCATTCAACAACTTATTGTTGCGACCATTGAAAATGGGGAAGAACTTTGTATTCGGGTGAGTTTTAGTTTGTTTTATCTTTTTTTCCACGCAAAATCAGGTAACACAAATAATAATCGGACTGGGTTGAGTGAGATAACATATTAATGCCCTTTCAGTCGTGATTTGGACATTAAAAAATTCGAAAAAGGTTTGAAATTTTTGATTTTTCGTCTAAATTCTAGCGAGTAAGGCGAGCGAGCACGCTTGTTTATGCTGAACTTCGATCGTTTACAATAGCTTATTGATGCTTAATTTTAATTTCACTCGAGTAAAATTAGGTTTTGGATACTTTGAATGCTATTTTGGGAATCAAAAACTTCACAAAATTTCAAATTGTGAATTGTTTTTTTTGAATTTTTTACGATGTTTTTTGTTGTCCTGTTTGCCTTAATTACTATGACTGTCAAATGTGCCCTAATTATAGTTTTACGTCAGATCTTTACTTGTTTCTAAACTGTTGTCCTGTTTGCCTTAATTACTATGACTGTCGAATATGCCTTAATTATAGTTTTACGTCAAATCTTTTTATCACATATCACACAGCGCAGAAAAAAAAACTACAGAATTGAAAAAAAAAACACTTTTTCTCTTGTTGTTTTTCAAAGAGTATGGTCGGAACATTGAGCTACTTGCACAGTAACCGGCTACCTTTTTTTTTTACTTTTGCTATTCGGCGATTCTGCATTGATATAAGTGTTTTGTACACTTAATACGGTTTACGACAAATTATACGAAAAAACCCTTATAAGGTTTAAGATTATACGAGAAATCAGATTTATAAGATAAATTATACGATTAAACGAAACCGATAATTGGCAGCGCTTTTTTGTTAGAGTTTTTTCATTGAATAGTGCAAGATTGATTGATTTTAGGGGCGGCTCAAGCCCAACACAATTTTTTTAAATATATATGAGAGATTTTCCGGCAAAAAATGCAATCGAGTAGCAAAAAGAATCTAAAAAACCTTTATCGATTGCTGTAATTGAGTTACGATTTTGATCTCAAGTTATAAGAGTATACGTTTTTTATACGAAAGCCAAAATATACGATTATGCGTTATACGATAGTCGGATTATACTTTTATAAATTAAAAAATTTTTTCGTTATACGTTATACGTCAATACACTGATTGATTCATTCCCTTGAAAACCAAAACTATACATCAGAAAAATAAGATGAAGTGATTTAAAAACTCTGTACCCAGTTTTGAAGTTGGATCTGCACAATGGACATGTGAACTCGAACTCCCGGTCATGGCACGCATTCTCCCCTAGAACACTACGTTGATGCACATGCGAAAAATTATTACTGCCATGGTACCAACTTTATACCTACTAGTACAAAACTTTTTTGATGAAGCCTAATCAACATACTATCTGGAGATTTTTAACCAATCTTCTGCTTGAAGGTGAATGGTTATTCTGAATGCCGAATTTTCGGCACATAATTCTTCAGATGTCAGAAAAACGACTCAAATTGTTCACCAGATTTTAAAATTTAATCTGCTACCAAAATTTTTTTCGATAATTCTCAGCTGTGTAAAACCATTGCCCCAAACACGGTGCTTCGAAAACCCATCAGCGCAGCAAGACAATGCATGCATTTGATTTATCATCGCATCCGTTGAAAATTTTGAATGGATCACTATTTACTGCGCAGTTAGGGCTCATCAAGAATTCTTGGTTCAACTATATTTTTTCAAGTTATTTTTATTGTTTAATAGATGTCAATATGTCTAAAACTATAGAACCAACATACATATATTGAGACAGAGGGTGTGTATTTTGTTCTTGCATCCATTCTGACACTCTGACAGCTGATCCTCTTCGCCCATAGGCAAAAGACAGATGGGACAGTTTCCCAAGTCATCCCCGTCTGTGTCCATTGACCTGTAATAACATGCAAACCATCTAACATTGCATGACATCTGATAGAAAATCAGCGATATATCTTAAAATTTGATTCTAAAGCTTGAAGCACTATTAGTGATCATTTCAACTCAGGTCTTCAAAACATTAGCAGAAGCAGCAAAATTGAATTAAAAATAGTCACAACATTCAGATCTTCGTCTTTTGATTCTTAATTTTAGGAAGGCAAACTAAAATTTAAAATCATAGTTCACTCACTGGTTGCTACTCATGGTCGACTCCCTGCTTAGAGTGACAATCGGGGCTCTGAGCAAATTGGGTTCCAAACTGCAATTCACTAACTTGCTCCTCCCACTTATAAACTCAGTTGAATCACTGATCGCTTTCGAGTGTTGATGTCGAATCGGAATCCTCGGTTTGTCTTCGGACAAAAGAGTACTGTGACTTCGCATGACTGCTTGTTTCTCGTGAGGTCGGCTAATAGGCCGACTAGAGCGCTCTTTTGGAGTCGGTTTCCTCCGTAATTGTGATTCGTATTGATACACCAAGTTATTGATCTACAATGCATTTAAATCATTTTGAGTGAATAATCAAGATTCTGTTAGATAAAGAAAAATATCAAGGTGTTTCTGCCATCTTTGTGAATTCTACTGTTCAATTTTTGTTCAATTAAAAAAACTATTCCAGGGTTTCAGTGAGTATAGTTTGTAGTGCTTAACTTTTTCTACAGCAAATTTTTCGACACTTATCATTAGATGAATCTTTATGGGAACAAATTTTAGTGATCAAAGTCAGTCTATTTGATGACTCGCCTGATGGTGGGTGAGCCTGTGTGCGAATATTCTGGGGTCATCACTTCTCACTCTCAGCACCCTCATGAAGATGAAGAGCAAATGCACACAGTACTGCTTCCCACAAGAACAACTGGGCTAAAAGTACAACTAATGTAGAAATAATTTTCAGCTATCAACGCAGTAAAAAAAATTAAAATGTCCACAACTTTGCGTTGTTAGTGTTAATCGACACTTGCTCTTAATGTGGCAGATGGTGTTTTTTTAGTTAACTCCTTTCTTTTTGGGTTAAAAATAATAACTCACGGAGCAGAAAATGACTTATTACGTACTTATGAACTTAGCATCGGCTCATAGCGAAGAGACTGTCGTTAAGTGGTTTAGATCTCAGAGGAGAGGTGCGGTAAAATCTTAGTTAAGATTGGATTTCAGAAAATTACAATACGACCGTTTATTCGTTTTAAGAGAAAACAACAACCAAATTAAGCTCTAATATAGGTTACCTTCTCGTCTATTTTGACAGTGTACTTGATGTTCGGGTCTTCTCCCACCACCGAGAACACACATGGACCTCGTCGTCCAATCAAATACAGCCGACTTAGGCGCGCCTGAAAAACAAAGTTTTCGTTGTTAAATGAATCTGATCACAAACCAGAGTTTCGTAATATACTTTCAAGCTTTAAGGACCCGATTACAAATAATAATTTCTTAACTGCACAACTTTTTATTTGAAGTGCCAAGATCCCACAGCTTCGATTTTTTCAGCAGTTTTAACTTCAATCCTCATCAAATAAATGAGTTTGCAAAACAAAGTACGATTTATATCAGAACTAAATGCACCATATCCCATACCCACATTTAAGCATGATTTCAACTGCTGCTTCTCGTTGCTGCGTTTTAAAACGCCACTCAGCTAAGCAAGGGATTACACGCACACGGCACACAGGAAGCAACAAAAAACCATTTCCATATTTGGAATATATGACGTATTCATATTGGGACTCTGCAGTTTTTCCTGCTTTTACAAGCTAGCAGAACGCTAAAAAATATCGTAAAAAATTATTCCCGTTAATTTGTTTTCGTCCGAATCAGGAAGTGGAAATAGATTATCTTCATCTTAGTAAACAACTCAATTCTAATCTACCAAAACTCACCCGTTCAATTTTCCGTTGGCGCCTCTCTTCTTTTTGGGCTAAAACTGATTTTTCAACGGGTGAAATTGATCTGTTACGTTCATATGAAGTCATCATGTTAGACTTATCTACAGATTTTTGAAGTTTTTGGACCCCATTTTCGATTTGGTGACATCTCGATTCACTTTTCGGCCTTCGTTGACTGACTTCGATAGAAGAAGAGGGTCGATTGGGTAGTTTTTGAGAAGTAACTGTAGATGTTGGTCGGAAAGCCGAACGTCCACTTGACCGAGAGCCACTTGATTGGTTCAAAGACGCGATGCTTTTCAGCTTCTGTCGGAAGCCCCGAGTTGAAAACTTTTCAGCGTTTCCATTTAGGGAATGTTTGTCACTCATTTCACGTCACTTTTATAACGGCGAGATTTAAGACAATGATTACAGATAGATTTTAAGATAAGATATTGGACACACGTTCAAAATGTAGTGTTCAAAATGTACAGAAATGACTGTGTATGAGTTGTGCTGAATCAATACAAAGCTGGCAACATCAGCGACACAGCAAACGTGAAAACCACTTTTTGATCAAAAAACGAGCGTGCTTCAATCAATCTGGTTAAAGCTTAATAATATAAATAGTATGATTTATAATATTATCAAATCAGTCACTAGATTTTCAACTATAAATAAACAGCCGGCAATGATTCACGTTAAAGCTCTCATAAAACGTTTTTTTAAATGTTTTAATGCGTCCTGTGATTTTATTTGCAAAATTTTCCTGCAGTTTTGTTCTTTTCAATCAAACGCAGGTGTTTAAAAACAGTTAATGTTAAGATTATTCAACACAGAAAAAACATACTATCACGTGATACTACTACTATGACGACATTCTCGTACTTATTTTTCATGACACGCATACCATGACTTTAAGGACCCTTCAATCGAAAAAAAAATTTTCATAACTTTTCAAATAATTTAAACATTTAAAATAATTTTTCCATAAAACTAGTTGTTGTAATAACTTTTCGAGGCATTTCATTCATTTAAAAACAGCATTTGAAACACGTCAATGCTTATCTCTTTTTTTGTGTTACAGATATGACAATTAAATTTTGGAAAAGGGAAAAATAACAATTTCTATATACTGAAAAAAAAAATTTGAAAAACAAAAATTTTGATGCGCGAAAAAAAAACGTCCAAGAAGTTAATTGAGCAAGAGGAACTTTTTAGGCACTAGCGGACAAAATTAAACACAAATTCAGGTTTTAACTCTCAAAAATCACTTATTAAATAGACCATTTTGTACAACTTTTACTTTAAAAAAAATTACATCGAGCGTGAACAAATGATCTCAGGTACATCTATCAAAAATCAATATTTGGTTTCAATGACTTTCTAGATTATTACGAACCTAAAAACCCTTTTCTAGTGTCTGCAGAAATTTTCCTAGCCGCATAATTGATTTCATAAAAAATCGAACTAAACTAAGAACAGCCGGTTGCTGTGCTAATAGCACGGAATAATCCGACCACAGTCTTGAAAAAATACAATTGTTTTTTTTTCAAATTAGTGTCGTTTTTTTCGCACTATGTAATAAAAAAAGGATCTAAACGAAAAGCTAGAGCTTATCCATTATTCGAGCCATAAAAATACTCAAATTGGAAACAATTTTTTTTAAGACATGAAAAACAAAAAAATGACTCAATCTAAAGTGCCTTTCTATTGTCTGCAGAAACTTTTCCCAGCCGCATAATTGATTTCATAAAATATCGAACTAAACTAAGAAGAGCCGGTTGCTGTGCTAATATCACGGAATAATCCGACCATAGTCTTAAAAAATACAATTGTTTTTTTTTCAAATTAGTGTCGTTTTTTTCGCTATGTAATAAAAAAGGATCTAAACGAAAAACTAGACCTTATCCATTATTCGGCAGTAAAAAAAATACGCAAATTGGAAAAAAAAATTTCTGAAAATGACAAGAAAAACAAAAACAGATTTTTTTAGCTGAACTATTTTTGAATTTTTGATTCACAAATTGGCGTTAAAAACGCCAAAAACTAATTTTACTTGATTTAATTTAAAGTTGAACACAAATAAGTTTTTGTAAATGGTCTAAATTAACCATAGATCAGCCTGCTCTCTAGCTTTCGTCGCTCGAAAAAAAAATCGAAAATCAAAAACTTCAAATCGGTTTTTATCGAGCGACAGTGGGAGAACTTTTTCATATTTATAATGCCGTTCGAGTCACGACTTAAAGGGCTTTAATAAGATATATTACTCGATTATCTCCGATGATTATTTGTGTAGCTAATTTTGCGCGGAAAAAAAAGAAAAAAAAACTAGACAACCGATACAAAGTTCCTCCCCATTTTTCATGTTCTTCAGTTCCTTACTATCTACTATCGTTAAAATTTTTCAACAAACTATTCATCACAACGCACATTTGCTTGAATGTTTTTAAAAAGAGGGTTGAATTTCTGGTTTTTTGCGTGATTTGAACTAGTAGAGACAAGGTTTTAGTCATCAAGGTTAATTTGGTTTTCCTGAAGCTCGTACACATGGAAATTAAATCTAAGTTTTCTAGGCTGCAAAATGTTGTTCAATGGAAGAGCGAGTAAAGGCTTTCATTTTAATTAAATCGCTCTTAGTTTAATCACGTGTTATCGTATGGCTTGTATTAGCAGACAAAAAAAATTGTTTTGTAGTCAAGTAGTTAATTGGGAGTTCTAAAGTAAAACTTTTCTCCAAGCTCTGCCAATTATCATTAGCTCAAAATAGCATTGCAAAAACTGAAAAAAAAATATTGGATAGCAATGGTGTCAATTTTTAAACCAATTTGAGGAAAAAGGCAGGTTCCGTTGAGCTAAATAATTTTGTAAAATAACCAATATTGATATTCACTCCAAATGCAGGCAAAACGGTCTTAAAAAAGTGCGTAAAAAACTTTTGATCAACGAAGTTCAAAATATATACGGCTCTGTATAAAAATGGGCAAGGAAATAATTTTGAAAAATTAGAAAACATTAGATAAAAACACTTCATATGATTTTACCAGCTTTAAAATCGATAGCAGACTAAAATCGCAAAAGTGATTAGCTTGTAAAAAAAGGGCAAGAAGAACAACTTTCAATCTACCAATTTTCCTGCTAGATGTGAAAAAATTACTGACTAAAATGCTTAAAATCGAAGCGCGTAAAACCTATAGAGGACACTGTAGATGCAATATGGAAGCTATAGATAAAAGATCCATTGAGCACATGGCATTCTTTACTTCTTTAAGGCTTTGAAACAAAAATGGAAAAAACATAGAAAAAGGCCACATCTCGGAAATTAAGAGGTATTGAGCAGCCATAATTGGAGAAGAATTGCAATCCCTGAGTGTACCCCGACAGCACATTATCATAGGGTTGAGAAATTCAAGTTCCATTAATTTTGTTTTATCTGTGTTTTTAAACAAAGAAATCATAAAAAGACCAATCATGTCAATCAAAAACATTTGAGCAGTCATACTTGGACGCCAGATTTAAAACTTCTGAGTGTAATCCGACAGAACCCCGAAATAGGGTTAAGAATTTTAAGTTCTGTTACTTTATTTTATATCTAAGTTTTTTAGGAAAAAATCATAAACAACGCCATATCTCGAAAACCAAAAAAAATTTTCAGCAGTCTATCTTGAAAGCCAGATTTGCAACACATGAGTTTACCCTGACAGCACCCCACTGTAGGGTTGAGAAATTCAAGTTCGGTTACTTCACTATACATCTAAGTTTATTTTTGAAAAAAAAAAATCATGAAAAACGGCACATCTCGAAAACCTAAAAGTTTTGAGCAGGCATACTTTGACGCCAGATTCGCAATCTCAGAGTTTAGTCTGACAGCACGCCAGTATGGGATTGAGAAATTCAATTCCGTTACTTTATTTTTTTTTTTGAAAAAAAATTAAAAAATCATAAAAACTCCATATCTAGAAAACAAAAAGAATTGAGCAGTCCAACGTTGACGCCAGATTCATAACCCTTAATTTCACCCTGATGGCACCCCACTAAAAGGTTGAGAATTTCAAATTCGGTTGCTTTGTTACATCTAAGTTTTTTTAAGTTTTAAAATCACAAAAAATGCCACATATCGAATACCAAAGGGATTTGAGCAATCATACTTGAACGCAAAAATTGAAACCCCTGAAATCAGCCTGACAGCATGCCAGTCTAGGGTTGAGAAACTCAATTCCAATACTTTAATTTAAATCTAGTTTTAATGAAAAAATATGAAAAAATCATGAAAAACGCCATATCTCGAAAATCTGAAAGACTTGAGCAGTCATACTTTGACGCCAGATTTGCAATCCCTGATAGCACCCCACTATAGGGTCGACAATTTCAAGTTCGGTTTCTTTATTACATCTAAGTTTTTTATAATATACAAATGATAAAAAATGCCATATATCGAATACCAAAAGGATTTGAGCAATCATACTTGAACGCCAGAATTGCAACCCCTGCTTGTACCCTGACAGCACGCCCACTATAGGGTTGAGAAATTCAAGTTCGGTTACTTTATTTTACATCTAATTTTTTTGAAAAAATTATGAAAAACGCCATATCCCGAGAATCTGAAAGACTTGTGCAGGCATAATTTGACGCCAGATTTGCAATCCCTGAGTTCAGCCTGACAGAACGCCAGTATAGGGTTGAGAAATTCGACTCGGTTACTTTTTTTTTTAAAAAAACGCATTTTTGAAAAAAAAGCATAAAAACGCCATGTCTCGAAATGCAAAAAGAATTGAGCAGTCATACTTTGACGCCAGATTGATAACCCCTGATTTCACCCTGATAGCACCCCACTATAGGGTTGACAATTTCAAGTTTGGTTGCTTTATTACATCCAAGTTTTTTTTAAATATACAAATCATAAAAAATGCCATTTATCGAATACCAAAAGGATTTGAGCAATCAAACTTGAACGCAGTTTTGCAACCCCTGATTGTACCCTGACACCAAGCCCACTATAGGGATGAGAAATTCAAGTTCGGATTTTATTTTACATCTAATTTTGTTGAAAAAGTATGAAAAAATCATGAAAAACCCCATATCTCGAAAATCTGAAAGACTTGAGCAGTCATACTTGAAGCCAGATTTGCAACCCCTGAGTTCAGCCTGGTAGCACTCCACTATAGGGTTGACAATTTCAAGTTCGGTTGCTTTATTACATCTAAGTTTTTTATAATATACAAATGATAAAAAATGCCATATATCGAATACCAAAAGGATTTGAGCAATCAAACTTGAACGCAGTTTTGCAACCCCTGATTGTACCCTGACACCAAGCCCACTATAGGGATGAGAAATTCAAGTTCGGATTTTATTTTACATCTAATTTTGTTGAAAAAGTATGAAAAAATCATGAAAAACCCCATATCTCGAAAATCTGAAAGACTTGAGCAGTCATACTTGACGCCAGATTCATAACTCCTGATTCCACCCTGATAGCTTCCAACAATAGGGTTGAAAATTTCAAGTTCGGTTGCTTTGTTACATAAAAGTTTTTCTAAATTTAAAAATCATTAAAAAAAGCCATATGTCGAATACCAAAAGGAGTTGAACAATCATACTTCAACGCCAGAATTGCCCTGAGTATACCCTGAGAGCACGCCACTAAAGGACTGAGATATTCAAGTTCCGTTGCTATATTTTACACTTTATTTTTCTTAAAAATAAATTTAAAAATCATAAAAAACGCCCCAACCAAGAGGAATGGAGCAGTTATACTTTGATGTCAGATTCATAACCCCTGATTTCACACTGACAGCACGCCACT